TCATTCCTGTAATATGTCCAGGTCCAGTTGTAAGATCTGGCAATCTTGTAAAGTGGATACCTGTGCATAAATCTTTAAGTCATCAGCGTAAAGCAACTTGAGATTTTTAAGTCTCGAAATTGGATTTCAATAAATTGTAAGCCTATAAACTACTATCGCTAACTATGGCAAAATATTAATGATACATTCTTCACAAATTAGGTAACGAAAAGGAACAGTAGTTAATAACGTAGACCAGTGTTTTTCAACCTTTTTCATGACGCGACCCCCCTAGCATTAAAAAAATTTTGGCGACCCTCCGACCGTTCGCTTTTTACCCGACTGCACCAGAAGGAGGGTTATGTTTTTCGAGTGTATGTATGTACATTTCTTTGGCACGGCCTACAGCCTAAACGGCTTGACCGATTTTAGCGTGAGTGGTGTCGTTAGATTTGTCTTAATCGTGAGAGTGACACTGGCTATATTAAAGTTGAAAAAAATCAAAATGGCGGATTTTAGGCGCCATAAATTCTTTAAAAAACAATTTTTCCCCAAAACTTATCGAGTGAAGTATCAAAATAAAGGGCTTCTTGAGTAGTTTACAAAAATGTTATTTAACAAAAAGATTAAAATAAAATTATTATTGAATAAACAAAAAACCCAACTGCGTAAAAATTAACTAAAAAAACAAAAACAAGACAACTTAGTGTTCACAAATGCAGTCGGAGGCATCAAATACATCACCAACAAAAGAATTAGTCATTGATGCCCCCGACTGCATTTGTGAACACTAAGGCCCAGAACAGACGGTGAAACGCAACTGCAACGAAACTGCAACTGCTAGTTACTTTTGAATTGCATCTAAGTTTCTGCCATAGCGTTCGTTGAGAGACCACACATGACGCGACCGAGGTTCATTTTTACGCAGTTGGCAAGCTTTTTTTTTTCATGCCTTTTACGAAGATGTTGTAGGGATCGAATTCTTCAATCTATACAACATTTATGAATTTGCATAATTAGATTTCGGCTAAATCTAGCTTTAAAACTTAACTGTTTTTTTACTGAGGTAGTTTTTACGAGCTCTCGCGACCCCCCTATAGAGGCGTCGCGACCCCCTGGGGGGTCGCGACCCACAGGTTGAAAAACACTGACGTAGACAATCGATATTGTTTTACACGTTATCACGATTTGGAGTACAAGTTTTGTAATTCCAATTTTCGTAGCGCACACTTGTATTTAATCTACTTTGCCAGTCTTTTGCTTTCATTTATTGTTAAGTCAAACATTACTATGCTATTATAACTTCAAAATATGATTTACTAAAAATTTTTCAAAATCCTTTGGTAAAATTCCATACAACTTGATGTGGTACAATTTAACCGACTAGGTGATAGTGTTTTAAAAAAATCGATTAAAAATATAGCTTATAAATACCGAAAACTGTTTCAAATAATTGTAATCCACACTAATATACGCTTCTAAATAATATTTTAGAAACACTGTGTGATTAAATTTAACAAAATTACAAACTAAACATGCATTGTCAAAAGTTACTTGAAAACAATGAAAAAAAACTTTTCAAAATAAAACACACGTGTTAATTGTCACGGCAAAACCATATAGCCAATATTCAATGATTTTTTTTGCGTATCGCTGAGTGTTTCAATTACAGACATTTAGCTAATAAATACTTTACGAAATATGAGGGTGGTACAATTTACCCGGCGGTCCAATATACCGAACTCTCCCCTACAAGTTTTGCTTAATTTGGGACTAGAAGCGTAGTTAAATGTCCAGGGATATTATAATTTATTTTATGAAATTGAGAAGATAGAGAGAAAGAGGGAGAAAGCTTTGTGTATGAAAATATTTATTGCCAGAATCAAACAATACAATAAATAAAAGACAGACCTCCACACTAGGCATTGCCTGTCCTGTGAATCACTTATAATGATTTGAAATAGAAATTGTATTTTTAATCCTTGAGATAAAAACTTTTCATCTACACAAAAATGTTTAGCGTTAATCAAGTTTTGCATATTTTTTTACAAAAATGCAGTTTTTCTCTTAACCTCTAATGAATAATTGTAATTTCCCATCAGACTATTCATATTTTCATCGAAGCACTATAGCACAGATTATATTATACCTATTGTATTATAATTTTTTCGTCACTACGAATTTAAAATGATAGATTTTATAAATTTTCAGGTATATATAAAAGTGAGGAGGCTCTGGCGGAATCGAGAGAATTCGTCACAAGAATGATCAATGACATTGCTAAGAGTCCACACAACTTACTAATATGTTGTTTGGATGAAGATCCTGAAGTTGTTGGAGAAATTATAGGAGCCTCTATAACAAAAGTTGACAAGAAAGATGACCCTGAAAGAAATTTGAATTTTTCGGTTTGAAACTTTTCAATCCTCATCAAAAGAATTAGCCTATTGTTTTTACTGCATTATTATATTATAACTCTTATCTGAAAGATTTCAAATTCTTATTATGTTTGCAAACTTTTACAACATTATCTCCGTGAATATAAGAGAGGATTTTGACTAGTATTAGACATTGACTTGTGATAATGCTGATAAAACTTTAGGATAAGACAGATACTCGTAAGTAGCTGAACTATCGGCCGACTAAAAATCGGTATTCTGCGCCTAGTCTAAGAATTTTTGTCGACCGATAGTTCGGCTTCAATGTTAATCAATGAACATGTATGGAGTACGCTCATTAAACCGATTTAGTATCGTCGACCGATTCCTCAAACCAATTAAAAGCTGACAAAACTATCAGCTGACTATGAAATGAAAAATCCTTTAAAGCTTCAACCACACCAACGCGTGCAGATCGCCATCGGGCGCGATCATAGGCCAATGACAGGTCGCGCGACCCATGACAGTCCGCGCGACTTGTCATTGGCAGGGTAAGGGTCGAATCCTCTACATTTTTTTTCTTACAGACAAAAACTAAAGAGGTGGGAGCTAGTTTTGAAATAATAAGTAAACTTATCTCTAGATACAACGCTTTGAAGGATCATAAGCTCGACATTTTTCTTAATGACAGAGGAGTTGTAGTAAATCCAAAATATAGAGGTCTTGGACTTGCTCAAATGTTCTTCAATGTCAGGTAATTACATGTAAAATAGTTGTTTGGTTAATTTCAAAAGTGCCGTTTTAATTCTGTACTATTGTACTGATAAAAACGCGAGCCTTCAGAACTCGGTTCTACTCGTACTCCTATAGAACCGGGTTCTGAAAGCTCGCGTTTTATCTCTCATTGAAAAAAAAATGACTCAAAATCAAAATAAAATATTTTGTTCAATTTCGACCACTAGAGGCACTTATGAACATCACAAATACGAGTACAGTAAAAAACAGACAGATAGACGGACATAACGAAACTAAAAAAGTGGTAGCCCATAAGGTGCACTTTACATGTCTGCATGCTGGAACTTTTTCAAACAATAATGAACCATGAAATAAAATCATCAAAAGTTCACATTTAAAGCGAGATTAAATTTTTCAGGCGCCAAATATGTCATGATATTGGAATACCTCTCACTGGAGCCTGGATGACGGCTGCAGGCTCTCAGAAGGCAGCAGCCCGTGATGGATGGGAGACGGCCTACGAGATGACATACGAAGATTTCGGAAAAGAAACCGGAATTGTCTTCGAAAACGTACCACCGACATGTAAATATATGACCGGCAAGCCATTGCAAATGTAGTTGTTTAACTTTAAAATAAATACATTGCATCTAAAATATGCATATTATTTTAATTTCATTATAACAACTTACTTACCTATCCATAAAGCTTTGTCGAGTTAGGCAGGTACTCCCTTTGTTTAATTTAATTACCATAATTATACTGCCACCATTATTTTCATTTCTTAATAATCTTCATTCATTTATTGTTTTTCAAACTTGACCTTCATTGGTTGGGTTTTTGTGGCGGTCAAGCTGTACATCCTGGCTACACAGGAGTTGCAGTGGTGGGAACGAGAGGTGGGAATAGTCCCGTGACAGACTTACAGTAGGTAATTGTAATTGCTATTTGCTGCTTATTAATTGAAAATTTGATAGCTGAGAGTTATCAATAAAATTTTACAACTTTTACTACTGTTATCATTGTAATAAATCATGTAAATGGTGTATAGTTTCTTAAGCAGTGGTTATTTGTCTTTTATTGTTTCACTATTAAATTATATTTCTCCGAACAAAATAAAATAAATAAACATGAATTTATCGATAAACAAAAACAAAAACCGCCTAACTAATTGTACCTTGTGTGTTCCTTTTCTTTCTGTTAGTTATGTTATTTGTTTGGTGTGCAATAAAGTGTATTTATTATTATTATTCCTTTATTTATATTATTGTCATAATTTTATTTTTTTTTTACAATGTATATTACAAAAGAAAAAGTTATAAAAATACATTATAAAAAAAACACTTAAAACTAGTTTATCCGCCGGCAGCGGAGCAGGGCCCAAGCTACCAGTGGTCAGGGTCACAGGCTGAGGAACCTCCGGACAATGCGTGCCGTGCTGAGGATCACCGCCTTTTGCATCTGACCCTTGAGCCAACTGGATGGTTGGCTCAAGGGTTAGATGCGAGAGCTTCTTTAGATGTTGGTCGAAGCTTTTCGCTATTAGCCCGTTTGCCGAGACAACTATCGGGACAATGATCGTCGAGTCAACATCCCACATGGCGGTCACCTCGTGGGCCAAGTCAAGGTATTTGCTTTGCTTTTCCTTCTCGGCCTTCACGAGGTTTTCGTCATGCGGGATGGTAATGTCAACGAGCGCTGCCCGACGTTGGGATCGGTCAACCACCACAATATCAGGCTTATTACAGACAATAGTCCTGTCTGTGATGATAGAACGATCCCAATAGAGCAATGCATGACCATTTTCGAGAACTGGCACCGGCTGGTATCGGTAATAAGGCGTCTCAGATTCAAGAAGGCCATACTGAAGAGCAAGTTGCTGATGGATGATTCTGGCTACTAGGTTATGCCTGTGCAAATACTCACCGTTAGCAAGATGCGAACAACCAGAAATTATATGCCTGAGTGACTCCCCGGGACGGTGGCATGCTCGACAAATGTCGACCGTACCATCCTTCAGGATATATTTTCGATAATTGTTCGTCATCATGACCTCGTCAGCAATTGCACAAGCAAAACCCTCGGTTTCCCCAAAGAGGTCACCGAAGCGTAGCCTGTTCACCGAGACGAGGAGATCCACATCAGGACCTGTAAGGGCCCGATAGAACCTCCCGTGCAACTCCTTGCTCTTCCATACGTCCTTCCGATCCGCGACGCTCAGCACCTTTGGCTTGCGCCAGTTCTCGTTCGCCAAGGAGAGCGGCGTGAGGCCTTTGTCAACTGCCACAACATCGCGATGCATTCCGCACTCATTGGCAAGGAAATAATCCCTAAGACTGCACACTTCACGGTTGTGGAGGTTCTTGGCATTTAAAAAGCCTCGACCTCCCCACTTCCGTGGAATGTACAGTCTCATCACAGATGAACGCGGATGTAACATGCGATGTTGTGTGAGCTGCTGACGTACCTTCCTATCCAGGGCGTCAAGTTCAGTAGTCAACTTAGTATGCCGAAGGAGTATATCAATAGAGGCATCACCCAACCGTTGAAAGCTCTTACTTTGTTGCCGCCAGACAAAAGACTATTAAGACCTTTTGTCAGTCGACTACAAAAGTGTTCTTTCACCGATTTTTTGATGTCTTCTACCGATATACTTAACGATTCTGACATACCAAGATACTTATAGGTCTCAGTTTCGGAGAGAGATTTGAGTGTCATTGTCTCAGAGAGTTGTAAATTCGGAGAATTCACAACTCTCCCCCGTTCCACATGTAAGACCGCACACTTGTTTACACCAAACTCCATCCTGATGGCGTTGCTAAATACCTGTGTGGTTTTTAGCAACTTCACCAGGTCTTGGCGCTTTGGTGCGAATAACTTGAGATCATCCATCTACAGCAGGTGACTAATAACCTCACCCGCTCTACAAAGCTGATATCCAAGCCCTGAATCCTTTAACAAAGTGCTAAGAGGATTCAGTGCTAGGCAGAACCATAAAGGACTCAAACTGTCACCCTGGAAAATGCCACGCTCAATCCTTATGAAGTTCAATGGATCAGGAGACCTCTCACCACCACCTGGCTGCCGAAGGACTGTAGTCCACTGCCCCATGCAAGAGCTTAAAAAGGATCTCAGAGTTGTATCAACCTTATACAACTCTAAGATCCTCTCCAGCCATGAATGAGGCACCGAATCATAAGCCTTCTTATAGTCAATCCAGGCAGCAGAGAGAGCCTTCCTGCTCCGCCGAACTTGTTGGCTAATGGTCATGTCTATGAGGAGGAGCTCTTTAGTACCACGAGACCCAACCTTACATCCATTCTGAGCAGGGGCCAAAATATTGTTCGCGACAATATGCGTATTTTATCATATTTTATCCATTACATTATACCTACTTGTTGTCTGAAGGATTGAAGATTCTATTGTGATTGTAAACTTTTTACAAAATTATCTCTACGAAATGACAGAAGATTTTCCGTGGACATTGAATAGTGATAATGCTGATAAAACAGATAAGATATTGTGTGTTTTTAGAAATGTTACTTACACAATATAAAAATATGTTTCTCAAACTATACATAAATGCATGGAAATATTATATTAGCTCTCTAAGACTCCTCGTAGACTATTTTTTTTTTTGTTCGGCGTTAGTTTGTCCGGGAGTTAATCAGTGTATGAACATGAAATTACATCGATTTGGGACGTTTAATTCCTCATGAAAATTATAGGCTGGTCAAACTACCAGCCGACTGAACGAGGGACGTCTGTGGTCTGCAGAGTCTAACTCAATCCATGTGAAAAAATCTTTATGAGTCGAATCCTCTACATTTTTTTTCTTACAGACAAAAACTAAGGAGGTGGCAGCTATGTTTGCAATAATAGATAATATACTTTTTTCAAAATACGACGTGATGAAGGATCTGAATCTCGACAGTTTCCTTGATGACAGAGGAGTTGTAATAAATCCAAAATATAGAGGTCTTGGAATTGCTCAAATGTTCTTCAATGTCAGGTAATGCTTACAAACACCAATTAGATTTCTTTACTTTTTAAGAAATTTACAAAAAATAGGCTCAAAAACTAGTAATTTTCATACTAGGTTCTTTGACTAGGTAATTTTGTAAATGAAACAAAAAAATTCGTAAAAATTCATTCACGTGTTTTGACACAGAGGCGCTCGCGTTTCTACGAGTACCTATTGTATTAATTACTGATTTTGGTTCTCTCTCATAAATTTTACTGAAAGCTTTTTTCAGTTCTAATCAACATTGAACTTCGATACTATACCATATACCTACTTACAAGTAAACCATAATTATCGTAAATAATATAATCGTATGGAAATTACTTCAAAAGGTCTCACATGAACGCCTTCTATAATCCGATTCATAATTACGTTATTCTGACCATCATGTGATTCAACTCTTAATTTTTCAGGCGCCAGATATGCCATAACCTTGGAATACCTCTCACTGGAGCCTGGATGACGTCAGCAGGCTCTCAGAAGGCAGCGGCCCGTGATGGATGGGAAACAGTCTTCAAGATTATAATACGAAGAATTCGGGAAAGATGCTGGAGTCGTGTTTGAAGATGTACCACCTTCCTGTAAATTTATGATCGCCAAGCCATTATCGATCTAGTCGGATTTAAGCTCACTTTACTAGAGTTTTTATTCTGTACTAGTGGATTATTATAAACCCTGTACTCTCAGGGTAGCATTGTGGCAACTTCTGCGAAAATTTAAACCTTACCAAAGAAACTTAGTCTTAATTTCCAATTTGTAGCATTAAAGTAAATTTTGAGCACTTGAGAACTGAGGGCCCATCGTCTGATTGGATTTTCTTTATTTGCAGTAAGTAACTATGCAGAGCTTTTATTTTAGTATGTAGCCCTACGATTTACCTCCTAAATATTACCATTTAATCAAGTTAGCAGTAGCGAAGAGGAATCGAAGTATGATATGTCGATGATTAAGTTATTAGACTAAGAGCTAGTGAACTAGACTTACACTATAATATAAAAGCTGAAAGATTGTCAGCGCATGCTCCCAACATAGGTAAGAATGTTGGTGCATCATGAAGTTTGGGTAATCGTGACTTTGGCAGCTGCCCTAAAATGATTGTCTTTTGAAGGAGTTTCTGGCTGATAAGAAAACAACTTATTTTTTATGGGACAGGAGGCAAACGAGCAGACGGCTCACCTAATGGCAAAACTTCTAATTATTGCCCAAATATTGTGTATAATCAACTTTTATGGCATAACGTAAGTAGAATTACAGTCTGATGAATATACCGTAAAAGTTAGGCTTATGAAAAATACCTGCTCACTATTTTATTCAATGTCAACAAATATGTTACATACACTGGTCATCAAAAAAATCGACCCTCCTGCGACAAGCACTTTCAAACGTATGCATTTCCACTTGCCACAAATGTTGGCACCATTTGAAAGCCTAGTTCTAAAGTTCATTTCATTAAAGGAAAGGTTTTTAACCCAAAAATGTGTCTTTAGAAGGATCCAGAGGCACTTCTTCAAAAAATAGGTAGTTACGCTTGAGCCCACTTTTATGGTTTTAATACTGTTAAGTTGGGATTAATCGCTATTCATCTATTAAAGAGGACACGTGAGATCATTATTTGGTTTCATAACCATAAAAATTGGTCTAATTGATCCCAGAGGTGAGCCCAAAGTTAGGTCTTTTTTCAAGTCACATTTATTGTATAATGTTAATCGTTTATTAAGAAATTAAATGTGTTTTCTTTATGTTATGTTAATGCATATTTATTGGGCTATCAAATAACAGCAATATTGTTAAGGCACCATGATTGGGTCAGTAGAAACGAGGTTTCCTGTAAAACGTAGGTGGGCCGAATTTTGTGATGACCAGTATAGTTTCATAATCTTATGCAAATAAACTATTATCGTTACCATTATCATTATCATTAAATCTCAATATTACACCAGCGGACTGATAAACCTTGATAGTACTGACGACAGCACATTAAGCTAAACAAAATAATGTCTTATTTCATTGTAATACAGGCAATTTTACAACAAAAATGTAATAAAATCTGCTGTAAAATAAATTTCTTGTCAGCCACGATTCACAGTTCATCATCAACAGTGAACGGGAGTGCACGTATTGACTTGTCGCTAAAATGTCACAAACACCGCGAATTTGGCGAAAATTCACAGTGAAAAGCAAAGATGGTGAATTAAAACTACGTATTCAGGACATACCGAGTGATCGTTTGGACGATCTTATCGATGTCTACATGAAATATTTCGCTCCGGAAGAGACGTGTTATAAAGCAGCAGGTAAAATGTTTTTAATTTTCTTTATTTATTAAGAAAACATCTAAAATTGAGCGGCGAAATTATTAAAATTATTTTCTCACTGTGAAAAAACCCGTGAAACCATTTATAAAACTGCGGAGACCCCATCTTCGAGACAGATAGAGAAAACTTCATGCATATTAAAAAGAAAAATGTTGGTAATGTTTAATCCAAAGAAAGAATGGAAACTAGTAAATTATAATAATTTGAATTAAAAATTGTTTTTTTCTTGAGATAAAAACTTTTCAACCACACAAAAATATTTAGCGTTAACCTTTTTAGCAAAAATGCAATACAGTTTTCTCTTAACCTCTTAATATGATTAATTTTAAAAGTTTCCCATCAGACTATTAAAATTTTCATCAATCTTGTTTATATTTTTTTCCGTCACTACGAATTTAAAATGATAGATTTTATCAATTTCAGGTATATTTAAAAATGAGGAGGCTCTGGCGGAATTGAGAGAATTCGTCACAAGAATGATCAATGACGTTGCTAAAAGTCCGCACAACTTAACAATATGTTGTTTAGATGAAGATCCTGAAGTTGTTGGAGAAATTATAGGAGCCTCTATAACAATAGTCGACAAGAAAGACGACCCTGAAACAAATTTGAATTTTACGGTTAGAAACTTTTCAATCCTAATTACAAGAATTAGGGCCGATTTTTCAATCGTCAAATATCTTTTGACTGAAGAATAAACTTGTCATTTTGACATACTTCCCATACTGAAACTGTCAATGTGCCAAACTTAGTTATCCAACGATTAAAAAATCAGCCCTTAGCCTATGGTTTTTACTGCATTATAACTCCTATCTGAAGGATTTAAATTTTTTTTTATCATTATGTTCGCAAACTTTGACAACTTATCTCCGTGAATTTAACAGAGGATTTTGACTAGTGGTAGACATTGACTAGTGATAATGCTTATAAAACTTTAGAATAAGACAGATAAATACCTGAACTATCGGCCGACTAAAAATCGGTAGTCTGCGCCTAGTCTAAGAATTTTTGTCGGCCGATAGTTCGGCTATCAATGTCAATCAATGAACACGTATGGAGTACGCTCATTACACCGATTTGGTATCGTCGACTGATTCTACAAACCAAATAAAAGCTGACAAAACTATCAGCTGGATATATGTACCCAACGAAAAATCTTTTAAAGCTTCAACCACACCAACGCGTGCAGATCGCCATCGCCGGCGCGATCGTAGGCCAATGACAGTCCGCGCGACCTGTCATTGGCCTATGACCATAGGCAGGGTAAGGGTCGAATCCTCTCCTTTTTTTTCTTACAGACAAAAACTAAAGAGGTGGGAGTTTGTTTTGCAATAATAAGTAAACTTATCTCTAGATACAACGCTTTGAAGGATCATAAGCTCGACATTTTTCTTAATGCCAGAGGAGTTGTAGTAAATCCAAAATATAGAGGTCTTGGACTTGCTCAAATGTTCTTCAATGTCAGGTAATTTTTAATAAATCAGGTAATTTGGTAACATGTAAATTCAAAAGTACGTATCGTATCTCCATTTTTGTTTTAACTCTGTACAGGTAGAGCCGGGTCTAGAAGCTTTTATCTCTCATTGAAAAAAAAAATAAACTGGTACTTTCTTCATAAAAACAATAATTAACCATTAATTAATCATCAAAAGTTCTCGTGTAATCGTTCATTACACACCTTTTGTAATCTTATTCGCAATTCACATTACCTATTTAAATCGAGACTTAATTTTTCAGGCGCCAAATATGTCATGATATTGGAATACCTCTCACTGGAGCCTGGATGACGGCTACAGGCTCTCAGAAAGCAGCAGCCCGTGATGGATGGGAGACGGCCTACGAGATGACACACGAAGATTTCGGAAAAGAAACTGGAATTGTCTTTGAAAACGTACCACCTACCTTTAAATATATGACCGGCAAGCCATTGCAAATGTAGTTGTTGAACTTTATAACATTATGTATTTAGGTACATTTAAATAAATACATTGCATCTGAAATATACATTATAATTTTATTATACTTAACAATTATTCATAATTACTTCGAGTTAGGCAGCTACAGGCTTGATTTTAATTAGTTCACCATAACTGCCACGACTATTTTAATTTCTTTTCATATTTGCATTCAACCGCTTTTCCACCGCTGCAACTCCTGTATAGTAGACTGTAGCTATAGCCAGGCCTGCAGGGCTAAGATGCGCGCCGTGATAAATTGCTATCGCGGCGTTATATCGATTTTGACGTCACTATATCGTTTTATCTACCGGCGCTAACATGGGGCACCCCGAAAATTATCATGTCATCTGTCAAAATGTGATAGTGATAGATTTTTTTTTTTTTGTGATAAACCTGGCAAGCCCTAACATGAAGCGCTAACTATATCATATTTTGACATCACGATAGGATAGGATGTGGTGTTTTTATCGTCCTCGATCCTTGCCCACGATAGCAAGACGATAGGAGATTAACTTTTTTGCAAGCTACTTTAACTCTATTTATTTATCATTTATAATGGTAAATTACATTTTACGACTAATTTGAGGCTAGTAAAATTCAAAGAAAGGAATCTAGCACCTTTGTGATACTTTTACTTCTAGGTGGAGATTGAGTTCTAGTTAAAATGGGGCGGAATGTGGTGACCGAGCTTCTTGTGTCTACATCAAACAGTGGCAAGGTCATTGTCAGAAATTAGCATTGGGTGGGATGTGTAATCAAACTTGCTATAATAACAATGAGAATAAATGAATTTTACTAATTTTATAACTTGATGGTGATACCATACATACATTCCACATTACTATCAATCTAATTCCTCTATGTGGTCTTTTTTAAGGGCTTTAATGTGACAGGATGATAATCTTGTACAATTTATTCCATTATAATAAATTCATCATCATCTCAGCCATAGGACGTCCACTGCTGAACTTAGGCCTCCCCCAATGCTTTCCATGTTGCCCGATGGGGCAGCAAGGTTCTGGGGTGGAGGCCGGGTACCGGAATACGCAGCGTGGGACGTCCACCCACAAGGTGGACCGACGACATCATAATGGTAGCAGAAAGGCGCTGGACGCAGGCAATAAATTCATTATTGCAGTGTAATTTCAAAATAATTCAACCATTATTTACAAAATCTTTATTTGGAAAACTTTTGTTTTACAATAGCTATTTATAATTTCAAATACAAACAGAATTCCATGAATTGGTTAGCCTAGCCAGTACCCTTGAAGTTTTTCTTGCTGATTGTTATTGTAAATTTTCATGATAGTGAGCAAGACTTGATTATAAGACACTGAGAGGTAAATAAGTAGTTAATATTATTCATGATAATTCATGCTAAATCATGTATTTCCTCCGCCATTTTCTGCAGATTGGCACCTCACGTCACATCATTTTACCGAAGTCAGCCCTATAGCTTCGGCGCAGTACCGATCACTGACGTTTGTCAACAAAACTTCTGACAAACTTGCTTGACTCTTGAGACAAGCTAAATTACACCATATTGTTAATGACATTGAGCATACATTTTTTTAAATACTTTCGCGAAGTAAAACTTCTGTACGTAGTACTTATTATTATTCTGTGCTATAGCTTCTAATCTTGACAATACAAACCCAACCAGCGAAGGCTAAATAATATTTTTCCCAAGCGAAAAGAAAACTATCACTAGAACGTTAACATCTAAAAAAACTAGAATGATTAATTATTGGAGGTCGTCGGACTCCATTAAATTTTAATACCAATGTACTATGTTTTTTTTTCGTTTGGGACAAGTAAATATCATTATGTAGGTACCTATACTTACTTACTTACTTGAAATACCTCAATGTCTCTGTTACGGTCAAAGTGATAAATGTGAAAATTATGAATAATCGCCGTTTATTATGAATAATTACCGCATGATTTGGTAAATAATGTGATTAATATGAAGTCATTTATGTGTGTATAAAACTAAATAGGCGGCTTAGGGGGTGGCCCCAAGGGCCACCCCCTAAGCCGCCGCACCTTAACCTATTTTTCACTTTAAATCAAAACATTATGTTATAGGCATCATGGAAAAGTAATATTATGCAA